CATAATCAAACTGACAAACCATGAGCCAACCCATGAGCAGTCCTCTATTAGTCTATGAACTTTTTCAGCTCTTCCTCAAAGACTATCAATTAGAGACTTCATAGTTTTCTCCTGATAACTTCTTGGGCAGAATAAAGGCCTCTCCACACCACGGGGTCTGAATTCATCCATCTCCCAACTCACCGTGATCTATCCAATCTATATGACCCCCCTCTTCTTTCTCTTGGTAACATCAGTCCCTGTAAAAGATCACTTCTAGCCAAACATTTATAATATTCCCTCAATGGCGTCTTCAGCCATTTAAACAGGACAAATCCCTCTCTAGCCCAGAATTGCTAGCTCTGCCTGTCTTTATCACCTTCAGCTTATATGACAATTCCAAATCAACCTGGATAAACACCAAGGAACAACTTGCTCTGCAAAAAGACAGAAGTCCAACTTTTAAAGGTCAGACCAATGCCCTCCTTAAATCATACCCAACAGCCTCAGCAGACAGGTCCACCAAACTCTTTCAGACATAGTCCACCAACTTGAACTACCCACTAAATAGTGGTCTCATAACCCCCGACATCTCATTTCAAGCCCTCCTCTACATTTGTCAGGAGCCAATACTTAACGGTCCCTTCACGGAAGACACTTCTCAAAACAACCACACCATCACTATCAAGAGCCCCAAGACCATCATGTCAACTGTGAGACAAATAAAAGGTCCACTGAACCCCCTCCTTTTCTGTAGATCACCCACAATCTCAGTCTCTCCCCCAGGCCTAATCACACATAAGCCCTCTAAGTGCTTCTCATGGGATCTCATTAACACCTCACACAACCCGTTAGTGCCTACCAGAGCCAGGTCTCGGCATCACAGCGTTTAGGCTACATCCTGATTCCTATGTCTCATCTCATCACGTGGGCATTGTATTGTCTCACATCTTCACAAGAAGGGTGAGGGTATTTTCTGTGAGAGACCAGATTTGCATAACTTTTATTACAGCACATTGTTACAACTGTTCTATTTTATTATTGTTCTTAATCTCTTACTGTGCCTAATTTATAAACTAAACTTTATCACAGGTAGCTATGTATGGGACCAACCATAGTACATACAGGGTCGAGTACTATCTTGGCTTCAGGTATCCTCTGGGGATCTGGGAAAATATCCTCATGGATACAGGACTACTATAGTTCCATTACTAAGGAGTGGGAAGCAGGTGGGGATGTTCTCTTCATTTCAGAATCTGCAATTCACTTGACAAGCATTTAAGTGGACTTCTGTGTAAGAAAGGAGTTGGAGAGGGAAATGCAAATGTACAAAACATGCTGTTCTCATGGGAAATACAGCTTAGTAACATAGTTAAGATTCACTCATTTATTCTTTTTTTGGTACCAGGGATCACAATCGGGTCCTCGCGCTTGTGCAGCAGGTGGCGAAACCACTGAGGTAAATCCTCTTTTAATAAACTGAGCAAACAGGACAAGAGTTTGAGACCTCACAAAGCCCACCTTCTCATAGAAGTGACAGACAATAAATAATAATCTGATGAACGTAATGCATTCTATTAGTGGTAACAGCTCTGAAGAAACAGTAAGGAAATGGAGAGTGACTGGCGGGAAGGTCTAATCTGGAGAAGATAATCAGCAAATAGTTCTCTAAGGAGAAAGTTTTTGGCCAGAGACACAAATGCAGTGAAGGAGCCATATAAATTCCAAGAGACTGACACTCCAGTAGGAGAGGCCAATAAGCACAAAGGCAGGGAAGCAGAAATGAGCTTAGAATATTGTGGAAACACAAAGAAATCCAGAGTGGCCATATCTTAGTGAGCAAGGAAGAGTAGTAGGTGTCTGAGAGGTAGATAGGGTCAGATGGTGTAGGGCTGGACCATTACACTAAGTCTTGAAAGTGTTCTGATGTGATGGGTTATGAACAGGAGAGGGACATGAGCTTGTCTGTGTTTTTAAAGAATCATGCTTGCTGTTGTATGGAGAACTGGATGAAGATGACAAGAGGGCAGTGACGGAACCACCTAGGAGGCTATCACAATGGCCCAGACCAGAGATGACAGTGACTTGGAACTCGCCGACACTGAAAGCCTGTTGGCTCACTGATCAGCAATCCCTACTCTGAAGGCTGATGCCTCTTCGGATCCATAACACAGCGTAGAATGTGAGGTGCCAAGAGAGAGTACACAATGTTGTGGGAACGCAGATGAAAATTACATCTGGCTGGGGGATGAGCTGGCACTGCAGTTGTGTTTTCAAGGATGAGTGGGCAGAAATGCTGAAGGAGAAGAGGACATTCCAAAGAAAGGGAAAGGCATGTGAGTGAAGCCATAAAAGGAGGGACACAAAGGGCATCGAAGGTTGTTTTCCTGCGTGGATATGGTGGGCCTGAAAGGGTAGGCTAGGAAATAAGGGTGGACAGGCAGCTTTGGAATAAATCACGAGGGGCCTGGAGGGTCATGATAGTTTGGGTGAGGGAGAGCTGCTATGTTTCTGAGAAGGATGCTTAGAATTAGCTCAACAGCAGACCTTTAAAGACTACTGGGCACCCAGGGGCTGCAGTAGAACTGGAGGCCTGTACTTTGGGCCTCAGTAGCCTCCTTGGTCAAGCAGATCATCGTCCCTACCTGACTCCGAATCCTTGTTCCAAACAACCTTCTGTCTGACCAGTGGAATGGCCACAATCAGCCCTTCTCCTCAGCCTCTGCTCATCCAGTGGCTTACTAAAGTTACTTACTAAAGTTCCTGTCCAGCTATCCCCGCCCCCCTCCACTTTTCTCAGGCTCCTGGGCCTCTCTTGCTCTCTCCCTTCTGTCAAAGCCTTTGTCTACACCACTCATGTTGGTTTTAACCTCAATTACTGGCATTTCCCTAAGTATGCATTTCTTTTTTTTCATACCGGGGATTGAACTTGGGACCTTGCGCTTGCAAGGCAGGCGCTGGAACCACTGAGCTAAATCCCCGGCTTAAGTATGTATTTCAAGAATACAAGACAACTCCTATGAAATATAAATTCCTTTGGGTCAGAGACCTTAGTTGGCATTCCCTTTTGTCATCCCCAAGGTGTCTGGCAGTGGACAGCCATTCAACTACACTAACCGCCCCTATACCTAATTGCGGGAGGTTCCAGAGCCAAGGGTAGAAAGCCAGAGGTCCAGATAGACTGACAACAGGTCACACAGTCTAAGGGGACTCACCTCCCTGCCCTGGACCCTCTTCCCAGTTTCCTATTTCCTGGCCATCCCAGAAATGAAGGCACTAAGGTTCGGACACAGGTAGATTTTGCCTTCCAGAGAACTCTGCTAGGAGATTTACCTTGTTTTCCCAGGGAACACCCCCACACTCAAGTAAACACCCCAAGCTCACAATTTCCCTTAGGAAGACAGGGAAATGCAACTGGGTCAGATTAGTGTCCTCAGGCCTTCCTTCACACCCTGGGACCCCTCCAGGGCTTGGTATTGGGGTTCCCTGTCTACTCAATCCCAGGCTCTGTGGGTCACCATATTTGGCATTTCTAGAAAGATTTCAATAGCATTAAGAGTTTAGGCTCTGGAGTCCTTGTCCCACACGGCCCCACTTCCCCAATTCACCAGCCATTGGAAACAGCCATCCAGACAGCATCAAGGCTGTGCGGACTACCTGCCACCTGTCACTTGCAGAAAATGAGTCACTTAAGGACATACTGCAAAGGCACAGATAACCGGTTCCTTCTGTCCTGTTGCTGTGGATACTCAATTTGGTGCTGGGCCTGTCATGGGCCTCCATTCCTCACTGATTTTTCCCAAAACTGTCTGCCACTTCTGGAAGGAGGACGGAGAGGATAGGCCAATGAAGCCAACCACCTGGGAAGGAGGAGGATATTGAAATCTTGCTCATGCACCCAGCTCTGAGCTAGGCCCAGGTTCCAAGAAGTCAAGACACCTGACCGCCAGGCACCCACAGCCCGGTAGGTGTAGGGGGGACACCAGGTCATCAGTGCAGCATGGAGGCTGAAGAATGCTGTGGGGAGCTCCCCCACGCCCGCATTTTAAAAGCTCCCTCTTCAAGGTTAGGTTTGAACTAAGACGTCGTCTGCGGTTGCAGTCCCTTTACTCTGCGTCCCCATTAAGGCAGCGCAAGGCTGGTGGGGTCAGCAGGGAGCCCTCTCTTCACCGAATCCCACCCACCTCTCCCCAAATCCAGGGCAGCACGGACCTCAGCACATGGACCCCTAACTGCTGGGTTGAGAAAAGCCGGGACCCAGCGTCCTGAGGCGAAGGTGCGGCTGCAAACACAAACCTCCCTGGCTGCAGCCTCAGGCCAGCCCGCCCCCGCGTGGAAAGCGGGCGCAGCCGCAGAGAAGGCGGTGGCTGCGGTCACGCGGGCGGCAAGTGGCCCTGCGCCCCGGGCACGTGAGGGGGCGGGGCCCACGCCCAGGATCCCCTCTCGCGGCTGCTTACGTAGCAGCGCGGCGTCAGCTCCCTCGCCGTTGCGCGTGCCGCCCCCGCCCCCACCCCCGCCCCCACCCGGGTCCCCAGAGCTCCCGCGCGGGGTGGCCGCGGAGCCCGGAGCTGGGGCGGGGGAGGAGCAGGAGGCGGGGGCGGCCGCGGGGCTTCAGGGTCCCCACCCGTCTCCCGGAAGCCCCTGCCCGGGGTCTGCAGAGCCTTTCCCGGTCCTCCGGGGATTGCTCTGTTGTAGACTTGGGGTGCGGGCTGGTGCAGGCAAGGACAGCGTGCAGTTGCCCGGGAGGCCCCTGCGCCCGCCGCCCACGCGCACGTACTCCCGGCGCGGAGGTGTCCTGCGCCGCCGCTGCTCTGCTGCGCTCGTGACTCTGCTTCGTGCCGGCACCGTTCCGCAGCGTGCCACTGGGACGGGGACGGGGCCGGGGCCGGGGCCGGGGGGCGCTCCTAGCCTTGCTCCTTGAGCGGGTCCATCTCCGGGCCTGCCAAGCTCTCCGGAGTAAGTGGGGGCGCCCCCTCCCCACCCCGCCCTGGCTTCCCAAGCCAGGTCATCCCCCTGCTCACCCCTGCAGCCCTGCCCTGGGTCTCCGTCCTGCACCGAGTTGTCCCCGGGCATTGTGTTCGTGTCATCCTGGGTCTCCTCACCCCAACCCCACTTCCGGATCCACGCCGGTGTGGGCAGCAGGCGGGTGTGTGGGGTGATGGGGATACACGCAGACTGTCCACATAGGCCCCTCCATGGACATCTTGGAACAGGGCAGTGGAAAAACAAACAGGAACTGTGGCGCGATGAGATGGGGCCGAAACACCAGGCAGTTTCCATCTTCTCGGGGTAGGTCACACGGCACGTGGCCGTCCCTGGGGTACATGTTGTATTTCGGTTCAGCACAGCACCCAGCAGACGGCTGCTGCCCCTGGTAACGGCAGGAAGGCTTGGCAAGGGCACTCTCCTCCGGGATGCAATGTTTCTGACGCAGGGTCTGAGATAAGGCAGTGTGTGTTGGATACACTGAGAGGTAGGGCGAGAAAGTAAATATTATGAAACGCATGAGGTGCTGTCCTCAGAAATCAGACCCAGTGTTCTCCATGAGGTAATGGAGTGGTCCCTGTATGGGACTGGCTGATCTCACAGCAGAGGGAACTCAGAGGCAGTGGAACCACATAATGGCTTTTGCTCCCAAGTGCCATGTGTCAGTCCCATTCACATTTCACTGGCTAAGGCAAATGATGAGATTTAAGTCCACTGTAAATGGAGCAGGAAGAATCTTCTCCTGGGATCACAGCCCACCACATCTTCCCAGAGGGGTGATGCTTGGGCGATTGTAGATTAGAACTGGATCCTGCAGGCTGATGGCCAGAGGAAGGTCCTGCAGAGAGAGTCTTGCTGGCCACAGTCATGGAGCCATAGAACTTTCTGGTACATTCAAGACAAGCCAATCATCTCCCATTGAAGTCGTTCCACATAAGTCTATTTAGTGGAAGAAAACATTGTCCATTCTCATGCAGCCTTGTTGGGGGCCCTTTTGAAGGGCTTGCCCTGGCCGTGTTTCAGTGGCTGTCAGTGGGGAGAGGATGCTGATTGGATATTGTACATCTTCCCATAGAAAACAGACCTCGGGTATTCAAAAAGACTCTTGTCTTTCATGAACATTGGAATATCTGGCAGAGAAGTGCCCTTAAAAAGACCCAAACATCAACAGGTTGCCATGACATTTTAATCTTGATGCCTTTCAGACTGGTTCTTTGGGCACCAGAGCTCCCCCAGGAGTCTGTTGATAGGCTGGTGAGTTGGAAGGCAGCCATCCTGAAAGAGTCCAAGTTCTTGCCATTGGAAGTGACTAAAAATCCGACCTAAAAGGCTTAAAGTGGCTTTTTTAAAAGTTCACATAACTGAAAAGTCCATAGGGTAGATTCAACTTCAGGCATGGCTTCATGAAGAGGCTTAAAGTAGACACCTGGCTTCTCATATGGATGTGGTCTCTGCTTTCCTCTAGGCTGGCTCTAGGCTGTGGAACTGCCAATCTTTCATTCTCCTAGACTTGTATTCAATAAGAAAGAGTGTCTGGACCTCTCCCAGCCTTCACAGCAAAAGTGTTCCTGGGCACGGGACTCCTGAACCACTTCTGGTGGTCACAGGGCCTGCGGTGCTCCACTGATGGGCTGAAGGCCGTAAGCCTAGGTTGAAGCCCCATCCAAAGCCAGGGACTGGGAGATGGAAGAGAATTGGCTCCCAAAGAGAAGGAGGTGCCCAGAGGAAAGGCAAGTGGGAGCTGGGGGCCTGGAGAGTGATAACAGCAGGGGTCCAGTTCACTGACAGTGATTTGCATTAGCCAGCCTTTGCTTCAGTAACGTTGTGGTGCAGATTGCCTCCAGACTCACCGACTCCCAGTGATAAACCTTAGTTGTTTCTCACTCCCAGTATGTGCGGTGGATGGGTGTCACTCGTCCAGGTTGTCTAAGTTTGGTCCAGGGTGTGGGCTGGGTTCGGGTCCATTTTCTGTCACCTCTCAAACGAGCCACCTGCGGCATGTTCTGATGAATGCCAGGAACACTGGAGAGGGAGCAGAAATACCCTAGACCTCTTAAGCCCTTGGTTAAAACTGCCATGCACTTAGCTCTGCCTGTATTCCTCTGACCTAAAAAATTCGCATGGCCAAGTCCACCATCACCGAGGCTGAGAAATACGTGGAAAAATAATCCATTTATCATGGTGTCACAAAAGGTGTGATCAGCAATAGGATCAGAATGGGCTGCTCTGAATTTCTCTGTGTCCACCCGCCTCTGGCTTTGTTCACAACTGTCCCGTGTCCGCTTGGATGTGCACTGAAAGGTCTGTGGAGTGTATGATGCACCAGGTGCTTTTGTCCTCCATAATTTCCTCTCACTCTGGCCCCAGCCTTCAGGCCTCCTCCAGATTTCCCTGCACCAACTGTGATTCCTGTGCCTCTCTTTGAATCTAGGAGGGCTGATCCGGAGCTGTGCTGCTGGGTGTGGCTAACTAGTGAGTGTCCACCTGTCTGGAATGTTGCAGAAGGCATTCCTGCTGTGTATGGGAGACTGGATACGATGAGATTACTTTTTGAGGTTCTTCCCACTCCAAGATGTTCTGATTCTGGGTATTCTGTCTCAGCGTCTGACCATATGCAGTTGCATTTTAGTACATAGCAGTTGACCTGAGACTCTGTTTTCTTTGCTCCTGCTAACTTCAATCTGGGACCCATCATGACCTGAGACTGTGGTAGGTTCCCATTCCCAGAACACCCCAGATCTTTCTTCCCTGGGGAGACTCAAGAGTATAGGAACCGGAAGGAGGCGAGTTTCTCAGCAGCCGTATTGCCTTCTATTGCTTACCTTTGCCTCTGGTCAGCCTTGGGTGGGAGAATGTCTCCTGCATCCTTTTTTGGTACTGGGGATTGAACTCAGGTCCTTGCTCTTGAAAGGCAGGTGTGGTGTCACTGAGCTAAATCCCCAGCCCTTGCTGCATCCTTTCTTTAAAAAAAAAGTCAACACCAAAAACATTTCCAGCGGAGCCCTTAGCAATGTGAAGTTCTGCTTAGTGTCTAATTTGATTCTCCATGCCAGTGGCTATAGCCATCCTGCCTCCTTTCTCATCTTTTGCATCTTTGCATATGGTGCCGTCCATTTCTACTGTTGGTGACACCTCTTCATTTGGTGGCTGCAGAAGAAAGGACTGGTACTGCTTTATTTGACATCAGTAAGCAGTTATTGAATGAGTGGGATAGTACCAAGCCCTGCAGTGCTGGGGGTGTTGCCTTTGAAGGGAAACCACCTGTGTTCTGATTCTGGCTCTGCTGTTTACTAGGTGTATGACCTTGAACAACTTCTTTAGCCTCTCTTATCCCTAGTCTCCTTGTCTATAAAATGTGCCACCTCATAAAATAGGACTCCTCACACAGGGTTTTCGAAGGGGATAAATGAGTTAATACTTCTGCTTAGAATAGTGCCTGGCACGTATGTGCTCAGTAAATGTTGGCTGTTACTATCCTTACTTTGAGATGAGCGACTTAGCCAATGTTCAAGTAACTCAGACTCTAGGGAGAAAAATGGCCCTGGTCACACGGGGGAGGTAACTGTGCAGTTGTAAGATGACCGGGAAATGTGGGTGGTTAGAGGAATCCAAGGAAAGTTACAAGGAAGAATTTTAAGACAAGCTAGATCTTCCTGAAAGTTAGAATTTACCAAAAAATTAGTAAGTAATGAGCCCCTCTGGCATCAGAAGGATTCAGCAGATCCTGAATACCCCTCCATCTAGGATGGGAAGAAGAGCATTTGCAGGTGAGTGGACCGTGGGACGCATCTCACCTGCAAAGTTTTGCTTGGATGACAATGTATTTAAAAAAAAAAATTCAACAAGTCAGCCAACAGATGAGAAGATTTCTGCTTAACACTGTAGGCTTTTGGGCCAGGGATTTAGCTCAGTGGTTTCGCCGCCTGCTGCGCAAGCGCAAGGACCCCAGTTCGATCCCTGATACCAAAAAAAAACCAAACCCCAATGTAGGCTTCTGCCTTTTTTGTTTGTTTTATGCAGAACCAGGCCACCTGGCGACCTCGAGCCTACACCCTGCATGTTGCGAGTGGGGCCGAGGTGTGGCTGCACCCTGACGCCAGTGCTCACCGTACGCGTAGGTGCATCTTAGGCCCTGTTCTACGGCCACTGCTCTTGCTTAGGGGAACTCACCTGGCTCCCTCGTTTTCAGTTGGCAGCACCTGTTGTGAAATATTTGAATAGTATGTGGGAGGCTTTGGTAATGGGGTCACCTCCAGGATAAGCTGATCCGAGGTTTACTCCCTCCTCACGGTGGGAGCCTGTTCTGTGTTCTGGGGACAACACCTGACCCCTGGCCCAGAGATTCGGTCAAGAGGCCCCACACACCTGCTCTGTGGCAATTGCCATGATTCATGCTAGGAAATACATACATTGATGTAGGTATCTAATTATCTCTGTATCTCTCCACATACAGCTACAGGGTGTGGGGCAAATCTGCATAATATAGCATTTACCATTTTCAGTGTGTAACTCAGTTGCATTAAGGACGTTCACAGTACTATACACCCATAACCACTAGCCATTTCAAAACTGTTTTCATCCCTAACAAACTCGGTACCCATTAAACGTTAACTCCCATTTCCCCTTCCTGTCAGTTCCGGTAGTGTCCATTCTGTTTTCTGTTTCTATGAATTTGCCTATCCCAGAAACGGAATCATAATATTTGTCATTTTGGGTCCGGTTTATTTCCTGTAGCATAACATCTTCAAGATTTACCCACATTGTAGCACATGTCAGAATTTGATCCCCTTTTATTGGCCAAATCATACTGCACTGCATGAATGCACTGCGCTTTGTTGACCCATTCATCTGTGAATGAACACCTAGGTTGTTCCCGCCTTTGGCTGTTGCAAATGATGCGTCTACGAACACGGATGTACAAGTATCCCTTGGACTGCTGCTTTCAGTTCTTTGTGGTGTATATGTTCCCGCCACATTTTGGTTTAAATTAAATAATCAACTTCTGGCTCTTTCTTCTTAGAGTCTCCTAAGGCAGGAGAGAGCACCGGTACTTCCATTTTACAGACACAGAATCAAGTGGCAGGTCAGGGATGGAGAGGAGAGCCAGAAGCCGGGTGCTTGGGGTACACTGGGCGGTAAGCTCCTGAGGACCAGGGTCACATCTGTGGTCACCGAAGCATCTCTAGGACAGGTGACCAGAATGCAGTCGGTGTATTTTGAAAGAAGAAATGATTTTTTGGGGGGGTACTTTACACTCTAACAGAGCCTTTTGCTTGAACTCCTGTTGTCTGTAATTTTTATTCTCCTCTCTTCCTAAATCCTTTTTCTATCTCGTAAGACACATCCTCGCCATGGGAACGGGACCAACAAACTGACCCCGATCGGTGTCTTAAATCGTAGCGACATCAGCCTCAGGCAGGCCTTCGCTTTCCAAGATGCTACCCAGAGTCCCAGAAGGATGCCTTTCCCCATCAGGGTCGGGAGCTTCCCCCTGCGCTCCCCCCATTCAGGGAGCCACCAGCTCTTGGCTGGTGTGAGAAATGCGAAGGCAGGAAGAGGGCGCGGTGTGAACGCTTTAGGGGCAGCCTTGGTCAGAAAATGTCAAACAGGCATGCCGCTGGCCACAGCCCTCTTAGCCCATTCTGCTGTGGTGTGTGTGGGGGAGTGGTCAGCAGCCCCAACCCAAATTCCCTTTTGTTTAAAAAGTGAGACAGAGTGGTTAAAATGCTGCTCATGGGAAAGTGCCCTGTGGACTTAGCCGTGCGTGGAGGGAATAGGGGCTCTGAAAGGACACCCCACCCCTCCGCGGAGCCTCTGCAGCTCACGGGAGGTAAGGGGTGCGGCTTATACTGTGGGATGCTTTTTCCACAGCTTTGTGCTTACACAACAATAAAAGCTGTCGCTAATGCCACAAAGACAGAATGCAGAAGGCTCCATGATGGTGCCCCGCTCCTGGGTGCTGGCGACAGTGTGCTGACGAAAAAGCAAGTGGCAAGGACAATGAGAGAGAACACACCTGAGACATCAGTCCCTCGCTGTCTCCCATTGGGTCGGGGTTGTGTTCCGGCGTCACAGGGGAAATTCCTTTGCCTCTGAGGTGCGGGAAGAGGTG